AGAAAAATAGACAAGTCCAACTCAAGAATATACATTGGGCTTGCGGGGGAGTGTTAGTATCCCACATCGGTGGTGGGAAAGACTTAGTATCAATATATAAGTTTATGGACTACTTCCCTAATTGTCAATTGGTTTTGAGGTGGAACCCCAGAAATTTTTATATGGTATCAGAGCTAGCCCGCGAAGAGTAGGACTCCAAGTATGATGTGATAGAACTGGTAGGGTTAAAACGTGAGGTGGTGACTGGATTGAAGAAAAATCGACAAGCCCAACCCAAGGAAATGCATTGGGATTGCGGGAAGTGTTAAGTATCCCATATCGGTGATGGGAGAAGTTTGATATCAATATATAAGTCTATGAGCTACTCCCCTAATTGCCAATTGATTTTAAGGCGTAACTTCATGGACTTCTCTAATATATATACTAATTTACAAGAAGTACCTAATATTTGCATTTGTTGTTTGAAAAAAGCATGCTTACACAATAAGATAAATTGACTCTTACTTGGGGCAGTGAGAATAATCAGATTGATATACATTCATTCTCTTACAAATCTCGTATCAAATAAATTATAGAACCAAATCTTTACGGTAACAGTGATTTGACCTTTAAGCCAAAGTTTCTATGAGCAGAAAAGAATCATTTATTGTTACACATCGATCACTAGTCATTTTTGCACAAGATCTTCTCATATTTCACGATGAGGACATGAATGAATTAATAATCAAATTAAAAGCCTCATTTTGTGAGAAAAGTCACCAAGCAATTTAACAGCAATATTCCGTAATTAGCATAGAAGAAAGCAAAAGCTAGCCAGCTGATGGTGGTGACAAGGAGAAAGATATTAACTGGTACAAATTCTTGGAAACAGGACTGCAGAATGTCAGCGAAGGATTGCCTAGAAAGAACAAGTAGTTTCCGAAGCTGCTGCTAATGCTTTGTTGGCAAGTTTTCTCCATAAACTACTAATTAGCAGGTACCAGACAATAATTTTTTTTTTTTTTTTTGTGAACAAAAGCAGAGGGCAAAATTCCTCAGCTTGTACAATCTATATATTTCCTAACATCCTGCTCTAAATACAGAGATATACTAGTTGGAGGAACATCAAAAGAATATATCCCCCTTTCAACACTAGTTTCAAGTGTTTCCTTTGTTAAGGTATCGGTACAAAAGTTGTTATCCCTACTTGTATCCGTGTAGTATATTTACCAATAATTTTAAAATGTATATTTCGTTCTTACAACAAATACGATAATAATTTTGAGACGAACATTTCTTTACTAATGTATTGGCAAGCTTTCTCCATAAACTAAGATATTAGCTGCTACCAATATAACGATACTACTTACAACAAATAAGACAACAGTTCTGGGAAGTACATTTCTAATAGTTAACACAATACATACGAGTTAGTACAACAAAAATTAGCTAGTAGTACTAATTAATGAAGTAATTAACTAAACCAAAGATTTGAGAGAGAGAGAGAGCATGAGGCAAAGCGGGGACACCGGCGCTAAAGAAGCCATAGCTTTGGGGCTCCACTGGGAGACAATCATCTTGAATTTGCTACCCTTTTGGCCTCACCATTTGCCTCCTGCATCTCCTCGTCGGGTCTACCCTTCTTTTTTCACTTTTCATTATTTTGGGAAATCCCAAAAGCCTCTTTTGTTCTTCTTTACAATTTTTTCTTTTTTCCTCAAAAATTTCATTTGCTTTGTTACATTACTTAAGGTATCCCTCTTTTGACCCTTTATTTTGAGTCTATGTTTGTTTTCATCATATATTCTAAGACGCCTTATGGTAATCCGATATCGATCGATATTATTTAAAATCATGAATAAGTTCATGTATATTTGACTAGCAAGATGACAATTTTCTCATAGAACTAATTTTTTTTCGCGCTTGAATCAATCTTGTGTTTCACATCGCGATATTCATTTAACCGGTTCCGACTTTGCCTAGTTCATACTACATACCCTCAAATTTTGATATGCTTAGAATTAGAATGTAAGAGACAAAAATAAAATGAACATAATCCTTGAATAATCTTTTATTATACTATGTAATTTCATTAAGGTCTTACCCTTTATTTTTAACCTCTCTACCTCATGATTTTGGTGGATAAGTTCGCGTGCCACTTAGAGAACAGATTCCCTCACGCCTTAACCCCATTGCTCAAATATTTATATAGTTATCAGTTTTTCTTTTATTATTATTATTCTCATCAAAATGAAAATCTCCTGATCCTAGGACTACTATTACTCCTCCTCTCCTTTTGATTCATTCTGTTTCCCTCTTTATCAGTGTGTGACTGTGTGTGTTTGTGTGCGGGCGCGGGCGCAAAGACTGGGCTCTGCAAAAAGATGGTCAAAAGTTTTCCTTTGCTATGATCAAATTCTTTTTGTGGCTTTTCGTGTTGTTTTTCGCATTATTAATGTTGTGCATGGATTGTGTTTAATTAATTTCTTTGTCTCACAATTGCAGGAGTCTTAACATGCCATGTTCTTTTCTTCTTCTTCTTCTTCTTTTTTTTTTTTAAAAAAAATAATAATAAAAATTTAGCGAATATGTTTCAACGTTAACTATAAAACAAAGTAGTATTTCATTTGAGATCTGGCTTCTGAAAAATAGTTGTAAGTAAGCCGGCATATTATGGGTTACGATTAAAAAGATTAACTAAAATAAAAAAAACGTCGTCAATGATATTGCATGGCAATTAGGGCAACGTCACTTGTCAGTTTGCGAAGACAGTAAATACATTAAACCCCACGAACTCGAGTTGCTGCGCCCCCCAAATCCCCAATTCTGTTGCTTTATTTAGGTGGTTGTGTATGATTTGGTTTCTCTGCCTTTGTCCAGAAATGCAGGCATGTTTAGCTCCTTGAATAGCTACCCCTCCATTTGTGCTTTAATTTGCTTTCTTCGATTCAGTAGTGCCTCGCAGAATTGGCTCCGCTCTACCTTGTCCTTACGTACTTTCCGAAAAACAAACAAAACTAATATTAGCATTTTTTTTCCATAAGTTTTGTAACCATTTAATTTGCTTTATAAACTCGGACGAATAACACTCTTCGTCCCAAGAGTGTTAGTCCTAATTTTAGCTACTATTTCTATCCAACAAAAGAATCTAAATTAAGTTTTGATATTTGCATTAAAAATAGTCCAAATTTTAAAATTTAATACGAATTTTTTTTAAAAACAGAGATAATACTATTAAAAAAACTGGAAACTTATTTTACGATTCGTTTTATTCCAAATAACCTGGTAATGAAATTCCCGCCGATAAGAAAGAATTTGCCTCTTATATTTCTTATTCTTGATTTTACAATCATCATATATGATGTACAATGTCTATATACATATATATATATTTTTTTTGTTTCAGTTTGAAATGATACTCATTTTCATACAAAAGATCAAAGATTAGTAAAAGGGGAAAAAAATGTTACAATCGGCCTACGTCAGGCATAAAACAATCAGCTTGAAAGGCTTCATCTAACAACACTACAACAGTAGGGAATTATCGTCCCGACATTGTGTACCAGATTGATCAAGAGCCCAGCTAACTAATTTGATGTTTCCTCTGATCTCAATCATGTGGCACAAATTTAAACTAATTTCAATGTTAATAATTTTATACATAACAATTTGGACCAGATCGAGTACAAGAGCTATTTTTCTTAAAATTTTACATTCATCAAGAGCAATGTTGGAAGAGTTTTTCCTCCGAAAGGAGACCGACTCAATTCAGTACGGAATAGTATGAGTGCAATACACTTAAGACGCCGTACGCAGTATGAAAAAAAAATAATAATAATGATAAAATTCGGCCTTTTGGCTCCAAATGTCTTCCATCATTATCAAAAAAAAAAAATCAATATCAACTAACTAGCTAGCTAGCTACCTCATCGATCATTTTCAGAAAATCGATTCCCAGCCCGACGAGAACCTCCTTCATGTGCAACCAGAACCATATGGGCAATATATGGGCCTATATCCATGGGTTACAGAAAGAACCAAACATTAGAAACTTCATGGATCATGTAGACAACCAATAGTAAATCCAAATTAGTACCTACCCCATTGGGTCCTTTCTTTGAAGAGATAAGCCCACGGGCGGCACAAATCGCCAAATTGTTTAGTGGATACTGATAACGAAGGTTAGAGTTCACTATTTATTTATGCCTTTTTTGGTCCCTAATTTGGTAGATGCTGATTTGACTAATGGCTAACACTTCTTTTCTTTTCTTTTTCTTTTTTTTTTTAGTTTCAAGACCATCTAATGTTAGTAAAAATTACACGTTATAGAGGTGTATACTATACTTAGTTCACATTGAGTTTTGAGATTTGTACTAATTTTAATATAAATTTGAAAACTCAATGTGGATTATTTTTATGATCCAGAATTTTTACTGAGAGATTAGGATTTTGGAGTGTTCGATACTCTACTAACTGAAATGATTTTCTTATTTGAATTTTTATTTGTAATGCAATTTTTATTCAAATTTGTTTTTATCTAATTTGGATTTTCATTCTTAGTATAAATTCATACAAAAAAATTAAAATCTAAATTGGACAATCATTTCGCGAGTAACCGACTTACTGTTAAGTGTTATCATTAGTACAATACTTACTTCTTGTATGATTGTGAATTATAAAACTTTCTCAAAAAAATAAAAGAAAGAAAGAAAAAAACGCTTATGATTTGTTTATTATAGTGTGTTACCGACTTACCGTGAAATTACCACGAAGGGTCAACGGACAGCAGTCTGTCTAGAACCCGCGTATAGTTTCATTCCACATCAGCGTGGCCCCCATATTTCCCGCGCCACGACATCAATCTCCGTCAGCAATCTGGGCCTGCCTTCTTTACGAAGTAAAAACGACGCGCAGCCCCTCCGTTTTCCCCCTTTTCTTCTTCTTCTATGGTAGGACGAGCACATAACATCTCTCTTCTGTAAAACATTACTCGGTTAACGAACTTCCCGATTTCCATTGCCATGATTGAAACCGACATTAACGATCTCTCCGACGACGCCGATTACGCCGCCGCTTCTAGGCAACAAGTTCGGTACCTCTATCGTTACTGTTTTCTTTCTTCTTTGAGTTTGATTATTGTTTCTTCTTTAATTTTATTATCATCGTAATTGTTATTGTTAACGAGCGTTTTGATGAGATTCTCGTTGCGAACGTAATTCCGCGCTCTAGATTGGATTCTGTTTGGTGTTTTTCGGTCAAATTTTTGGAACTTTTGGTTTAATTTGGAGTATTCTATTGTGTGTTACTGTGTTATGTGAATTAGGGGCCGGCAAGCTTTAATAGGAGTGATAGTGGAAGAAGGAGCTCATCCGGGGAAACAGAGGGTGCTGAAGTTGTGTATTTGAAGGACAATGTGACAATTCATCCTACTCAGTATGCGGCCGATTGGATCAGCGGCCGATTGAAGTTGATTAAACAAGCCGGTTCTCTCTTTATGGTATTATTATCATTTAAAATTTGTTCTGATCAAATGGATAATGCTTTTTATGTGGTTTTGTTTTCTATTTCTACATGCTTTTGATGTGTTTGGAATCACTCGCAAAGATTGTTCGTAGGTGGGAGACGACTATAGAACTTTAATTAGGAAGGAAATGAATGTATCAAAATATAGTTGGGAAGGCCACTAGAATCAGATAATGTCAGCCTTTATGTTGTACTTAATCTTTATTTTACATGGAATGATTAGTTATCCTTTAGTAGTAATTTTTGTCGATTTTCCAATTATCATTTTTATGTCTGTTTTGTATATCTAGGATCATCTTGTGATGCAGTTGATTTTTTTTTGCCGTTTTTTTCCTTTTCTGTATCTAAGTTGTGACTCAATGTGAATGTGCTATATGATATGCTGGCTGGAATAAGATAATAATGATCTTACCATTAATAGGTTTGATTGCCATTAATGTCGTCTGTCAGGTAATCTAGTGGATTGATTTCAAGAAATAAAATGTTGTCAACATGCACAGGCTTGGCAGATTTAGCAGTGTTATTTTCAATAAGTGACTTGCATATGAAAATGTGTAACCATGCAACTAATACATTCGGGTGTTGGACGAAATGTTTTTCTCCCATCCTTTTTCTCTTACCGTGCTTACTTATTGACAGACATGGATACCTTACAAAGGGCAGAACTCAAATGCAAGATTAACGGAGAAAGGTATGTTTATCTTCTTCTTTTTTTTTTTCTGTTTGCTCAGGTGACTTGACAATCAACTATTGTAAGCTTATTTTCAAAAAATAAAAGAAAAGAAATAATAAATAAATAACTATAAGAAGCTTCATAGGTTCTGTAGAAATAAAATTATTGACTCGATTGGTTTTGTGTATGTGTATTAGGTTAGTTTATTTCTCAAATTAGCTCTGAACTGGAAACACCAGCATTTTCTGTTCCAATAATATTTACTTTTTAGCATGTTTCATGAAGCTAGGTACCTTAATAATTTGTGTTCAAATGATACATCATTTACTTGGCATCAACTTGGAGCTTTTATACTCCAGCATTTTGGGAAATCTGTTCCGTTTAGCATTGTTCATGTCTCTTAATCAATTGCAACCTACAGGACGAGTGTGACACTGTTGATTACCATGAGTTTACTTATGAAGTATTTGAAATTTCTATGGAACTGTTGAGAGTCGGATTTAGTTTTCAAAACTTTAAGGTTTTGATGGCTAATTAATTGCTTACATACTTCTTCCTGGATCTAATAGTTTTGGGATTGGAATCTTTTCTTGCAGATAAAAATCTCTACACTATAAGAGCAGTACCTTTCTCGGACATTAAGTCTATCCGTAGGCACAATCCCCCAATCGGGTGGCAGTACATTATTGTAGTTCTATCTTCAGGTATTTGTTAACCTTTGATTCATGGCATGATCCCTAATTCTGCTTCTTTTCTTTTTGGACCTCATTACAGCTCATGATTTTTTTTTGTTTTTGTTTTTGGGGTTAAGATTACAGCTCATGATTTGAATATATATAAAGATGACATATGATCCATATAACTTACTTTACTTAGTGGAATATAAACTTAGCTTTTGTGGGCGTAGTTGGCTTGTTTTGGAGGAGCAGGTTGATGCTTTAGTTGACTTGATTGGCAAAATGAGTAGGGTCTATCCAATGGATGCTGATTGAATATCTATCTCTTTTTCATTTCTTCTCCTTCTCATTCTTTCACAATGGAACTATTCGGTTTGCTGCTTCCTTCTCCATACTGACTTGACGTTGTTTTAAGTCTGTTGGCTTCATATCTCTTCCTGCTTGCTGAGGATAGTGGTTCTGTTGGTGCTTTTCCTTGTGTGATCTTTTATATCATCCTACATACCAATGTTTAAGTGTTTGATTGTCCTGTGTTTCCTTAATCTGGCATCTCCTCTTGGTTATTCAATCTTTTGGTCCCTTGTAGGCTAAATATGTTTGGCAGTGACTGTAATGTTTCAATGTCTAAGTATCCGAAGAAGCTCTTTTATTGCTGAATGGTATATTGATGACCTTACTGTTTTGCAGGATTAGCATTTCCCCCACTTTATTTCTATAATGGTGGCGTGAAAGAATTTCTCGCAACAGTTAAACAGCATGCTTTTCTTGTTAGGTACGTGCTTTTGAATAATAGAAGATTTTGCTACTTCACCTTTAAAATTTGTTTTTAATTTGTTCTAGAACTTTGCTTCTACAGGTCAGCAGATGATGCCAATGTATTTGTTGTTAATGATTTTCAAGATCCCCTTCAGGTGCACTTTTTTTGAAGTGACTTTTTTTTGGATCGTTTCTACCACTTACCTGATTATCAATAGTCTTAGGGATTGAAATGCTCTGATGAATTTTATTTTATAAATTTTCGTTATCAGAAAACTTTATCTTCCTTGGAGCTTCCCAGGGCTGTCTCTGTGGCAAATAGTCCCTCATCTTCTGTTGCTCTTAGTGAATCACCATCAAGTGGAAATCAAGAGATGACTGAAGGGGGTGCTTTTAATGGTAGTGCTGCTAGTGTTCGTCAAAATGGGACACCTCGGCAAAAGCATAATGATCCAGCCCGTGACCTCCATATGCAAGTTCTTGAAAAGTTCTCTCTTGTGACCAGATTTGCCCGTGAAACAACTTCCCAGTTGTTTCGTGAATCTCAAATGGATGGCTTTCTTGCCAGTGAGAGAAGAAGATATGACCAGCCCTTGGTTGAGCACCAGTCTTTGGTTGAGCACCCTGAATCTCCCGATTCTAATGGATCCCCAAAGACACCTGTACCTGCAGATCCACTAGAGGTGATGTCTTTATGTTTGTTTCTTCCTCTCGGTGCATAGGATCTCACATTGATGAGATATGTTTTCCTCTTCTGTCCCTTTCCCATCCCGTTGTTATTAATCTTTTAGGGGAGAGAAAGGGTTACTTCCTCATTGAAGTAAAAGGGCTTGGTGAGCCTAATTGTTGCAAGTGGCTATGTTTGTTATGAACTCTGATCTTCGGAACTTCAAGATTTTTATTTACTTTAAGGACAACTCTATGAGCATTGTATCTTTTGAACTATTATTCACTTGAAGGAGGGGCATACGAATGCACATTGAGATTTTGTAGGTGCACCTGTCTGACAGTTTTTTTTTATATATATCTTTGGGCAGTTTGACAAAATGTCACTAGTTTGGGGAAAACCACGCCAACCTCGTCTTGGACTTGAGGAGGTGAGGCTTTGTTCTTAGTTTTTTGATTATCATTATTATTTTGCTGTTTTTGTTTTGGGGCTGCACATTACATTTCCAATATAGTAATTGATCTGTTTTAACTTATAGTCTTTATTATCATCTCCTGATGAAAATGTTTGTGGTATTCTTATTTTTGCTGTGTTCAAATTCAGGAGCCTGATATCTTGTCAAACATTTTAGTAAGAATTAGGTGTGGAAGCTAAATAGTCAAGCCCTTTATTTTCCAATATTGTGAGATTTATTAAATCCCCTGATGGTTATGTTGGAGTTTATTGTGGAAACCTTGGCTTGGTTGTTGGTTCTCGTTGTTCTCTTTTGTTCCACGTAACTATGACATTTTTGCTTTTTTACACTTGCGGTCTGGTAAGTATGACTGAAGGCGAGCACTTAAGTTATCAGCATGTCTTTCTGAGTGGCTAGATCAAGTATGTCAATATCCTGTTGATAGCGAGTCAACTTCACTGTATACTTAGTATGGTGGATAGAGCTGTGATCAGATACCTATTGCTTTTCTTGTCATCATTGATGCCTTCCCATTATTGATTAGTCTTACCTAAAGACATCTTCTGTTAGATTTTATATTCCTTCTTCCCCTGCAACAAGGGTTTGGTTATGTTTGATTTGTAGAGCTTGTGACCTTACACTATTAAGTTCCTAATAAGTTTTAGATATTATGTGTCCTAACTTTTCTAGTAAACTTGCAGTGGTCAAATTTCTTGGATTCTGAAGGAAGAGTGATGGATGCAAATGCATTGAAAAAAAGAATATTTTATGGTGGAGTGGAGCATAATTTGCGGAGAGAGGTATTTACTGTTGCTCACGAGTTTCAATTTACTTGTATTGTTGAATTTATCAAGGGAAGTTAAGTAGTCACAAATTTTATCAGCTATGGCCGTTCTTGTTGGAGTACCATCCATATGATTCAACATTTGCTGAGAGGGAATATCTCGTGGCAATCAAGAAGTTGGAGTATGAAACTCTAAAGAAGCAATGGCAGGTTTGTGAATGGTTTTTAGTTCATTTGAACTGTTGTAGCATTATAATTTATTTGCGATTTACTGATATACCCATTGATTAAAGTGACTTGTCAATTTCCCTATGGACTTATCCGCTTGGTTCATAATTTTTTTATTGTTTCTGTTCTTTTTCCAGTAAACGTTCATCTCTTTCTAAGTAGAAGACTATAGATGTACTATAGAGCCCTTTTACACTTATGTTCATCATCCGTCTGGTATATTTTCAGGAGAAACATCTGTTGTTCCCTCTTGAGAAGATTGCCAGTAGACAATCAAGTCCTGTTACTTCGTGGCTTATTAACTATTTTCAAAGCCATTACCTGTGTTTTGATTGATTAGTTTAGTGTACTTTAGTTGGAGTACTGAGGCTGTTGGAAGTTTGTAGACTGTCCAATCCGAATGGAAACTCAGGACTAAAATTTGTATAAAAGTTAGGAAGAGCAATTGAATGATATGTATGTGTCTATTGTGGTCATGTATAAAGTCCATATCTTAAGGAGTTTTAATAGGTGAAATAAGTAAAATACACCATTCAACCGCTCTCAAAATTGTTATGTTTGTTGTTAGTATTGCCTGGTTGCACTTTGGTTACTCATCCTCATGATTTTTGTATGGTGCTTAGTACTTCTCTTCATCCTTAAACTTGTTGATTTGTAATGACTGATGTGTTTGCCTAACTCCCAATGTCAGAGTATCTCACATGCACAAGCAAGAAGGTTTACAAAGTTTAGGGAGAGGAAAGGCCTTATTGATAAAGATGTGGTATGGTTTAGGTCATTATCTTTGTGTTGCCTTTTGTATCACTATCACCCTTGTTTTAGTGTGCAACTCATTTAGTCTAATCCTGACGATTTTGTAGGTGCGGACTGACCGGTCACTTTCATTCTACGATGGAGATGATAATCCAAATGTCCATCTTTTACGTGATATACTGCTCACATACTCATTTTACAACTTTGATCTCGGATACTGCCAGGTAATACAGGACTATTGCTTCTATCACTTCTATTGATGCTTTTCCGTGTACCATTAAATGGATGTTCTTTTTGGTATTACCCTGTGCAGTTGTTTATAATTTTACCCAGCTCCTTGTACTTGATAATGGAGATGAAATTGTATCTATGACAGAGGGTTAACTGACACACACATGACTGGCTAAAGATTTTTGTGTCGTCTCTTTTTGTTTTTTCTTTTTTCTTTATCCCATTGAGTGTGGGAGTTCAACCAAATATTGTCGATGCCTAGATTTCTTGAAATTGACATCCACCTTTCATCATTGTTTCAGAAGATATAAATTTCAGGTCATTTGGCATGTTTTTGGTTGATATGGAATTGGATCATTTTGCTTTTACTGTTCTTAGATTTCTCTTTGACTTTCTGATGTTTCATGAAGTGTTTAGGTCAATTGTCTGGTTTGTTGAAACACCTTATTATTTAGTTCTCGAATGTGCAGATATTGTCGTATTTAGTAATAATTTTCTTACTCAACTAGTCTTGTGTCCTTGCACTGAGAAATCGGAAGAATGTTACGTGTGAGATTAGAAATATGTATGGAAACAAAAGCAGAAACATTGTTTGGTGACTCCAGTTTAACAAGATTCTTTGTCTGGCAGGGAATGAGTGACCTTTTGTCCCCTATACTATTTGTTATGAAAGACGAATCGGAATCATTCTGGTGCTTTGTCTCCCTAATGGAGCGGCTTGGACCAAATTTCAGTCGAGACCAAAGTGGAATGCATTCTCAACTTTTTGCTTTGTCAAAGGTTCTCTTCTCTCTCTCTCTCTCCCTCCCTTTTGTTTGCTTGTTATTTACTTGTCTCTCGCTTCTTGATATTCTTTAGAACTGAGTCAGCTGGCTTGAATATTTCTAAGGGCAGTGCATTGGAGGGTTGAGAATCTCTCGAGTGTGTCTGTGTGTGTGTGTGTGTGTGAGAGAGAGAGAGAGAGTGTGTCTGTGTGTGTGTGTGTGTGTGTGTGTTTGTACCAGTGTCTGTGTCTAAAAGGCCGTAGTGTTCTGGACATGATCAACTAACGCACTAGATAAGGTGTTTTAAAGATAACCGATGAATATTTGATTTGTTTTGTTGCAGTTGGTGGAGATACTGGATAGTCCACTGCATAATTATTTTCAGCAGAATGAATGTATAAATTATTTCTTCTGTTTCCGCTGGATTCTTATACAATTTAAAAGGCAAGTTACACCTGCCTACTCGCTTTTTCGCTCCAATCCATTTACGGTCTATCGGGTTGTGTAGCTCGATGGATGTATCTTTTACATGTGAATTGACATCTTGCCTTTTGCAGGGAATTTGATTTTGACAGAACAATGCTTTTGTGGGAAGTATTATGGACTCGCTATTTGAGTGAGCATTTGCACCTTTATTTTTGTGTTGCAATCCTGAAGAGATATCGCAACAAGATAATAGGAGAGCAGATGGATTTTGATACGCTACTAAAATTTATCAATGAGCTCAGTGGTCAAATTGATCTCAACCCAACACTTAGGGATGCTGAGGCTTTGTGCATATGTGCTGGTGAGAATGGTGCCGCTTGCATACCTCCTGGAACTCCACCTTCATTACCGATTGAGGATGCTTCGGTATACCCCCAACTGGAGGACGATATACTTTAAAAGTCACATTTGTTTTGAGTTCTATCCATATGTAGGAATGAGAGGATATTAATGTAATGTGGTCTTTGGTGTAAAGATGCTGTATATGGGTAGGCGATTATTGGAACCAATAGCGATCATCTTTCTCAATGCGTCGTCTTTTTTTCTTTTGTGGAAATCGATGTGTCGTTCAATAGTTCAGCAGGTTTTCTGCTGCTATCTGTTGGTTTGAAGCCTAGATTTTTGTGTTCTCTGGGCATCAAAGCTGTGGTTATTCATGGTTTCTTCAATTAAGCATGGCAACATCTGGCAAATGGTATGCATTAATTTCTCTGTGCTATTTCTTTGAAACGAAACGAATTGGCAAATTATTTTCACTTGCAGAATTTTAAATGGACTTGTGGATGAAACAGTGTAATAGCGCAAAGTATCAACTCTTTCCCAATTAGGATAATTATTTTGGAACATAGAATAATAAATTATTTTTTCATGGAAGAAAGTTACCAGGTGAATGAGAATGTTGAAGGACAGAAGTTTTTTTTTTTTTTTTTGTGTACGTGTGTTGTCTGAACATCAACCTTTCATTGAATGGGAGTGCCGGGAGTCAGGTGACCAGAGCCGAAACTAGCAAAAACTTGCAAAATCATAAAATTGTCTGACAAAGCGGATAGGCACCAGATGTGTTTTCTTCCTGGACTCTGAAACCCACACAGGAGCCTTTTTTTATTAGACTTTGTACAAGTCCACTAGATTATCTACCAAAGGCAGACCAAATCTGACAGTTCAAGTTAACTCAAAAGTTTCTAAGCAGAGCAAATAATTATGGTGATGTTTCCTTGGACTAATAACCACTTCTTGTCTGGGCTTGATTTGGATTCCGGGGTACAAACTTCTGCCTGAATTTGACCTACTCGTCTCATCAACTTCTTCAACTTTCAAAGAAGAAACTTCCTTTGTGAAGTAATGAATGAATTTGTAATCCGTACTACAAATACAAAGACAAATGAAATAATGAATGAATACTACTGGTACCTAAGCAGAGTCGGACTGGTACCTAAGCAGAGTCGGGAACAGGTCAGTCACGGTCGCATGATATTTCCAGTAAAATGTAATAGTGTGATTTAGGAATGTAAATTTACGTTTTATGAGATTAATAGAAGGTGAGTAATTGAACAAACTAGTAGTTAAAAAAGTTTTTCAAAAAAAAAAAAAATGATAAAACTAGTTGTATCATTGCGCTCGTGTGAGCTTTGTTTTACTTGGGAAAGACATTAGTTTATATAATTGTATAGTTGTTTTCAATTTAAAAAAGAAACGGGGAAAGGAAATACTTTGATTAATCTCGTGACTCAATCGTGTAGCCTTTTTAGTTAGCATACCAAATTTCTATTTGGCAAACAAAGAACATGCAGCAACCAGAACGTCAACATCAATGCCAAAAAGGTGGCTGCACTTTGACAAAACTACAAATCATGCCTGCTAGCCAACCAGAACACACCTTAATTATACCATTTGCTTCTTTTTATTCTTCCTTTATATGAGCCCTCTCTTTTTTTTTTCCTTTTTATTTTTACTTCTTTCATTCTAAAATAACCTAACTAACTAGCTCGTTTATTGTATAGATAATCATTTGGGGACAAATGGATTAATCTTATATCTTTTGGTAGTAAAATTGGTTTTTGCCTAGCTAGAGACACAATCGAAGAAAGTCACGATAGATCATGATACCTTTTTGATAGAAAATCAAAATCCTGGATACTTTCACTCCTGTTTTGTTTCCTCTTTCAACTTTTTTTTATAAACCATGCATGTACGTAGAAGCTATAATGTTCTCTGCGTACCCCCTTTCTTTTTTTTTCTTTTTGCCTTTTGCTGACTCTTAAAAAAAAATGAAGAAGAAGAAAAAGAAGCATGCTGAGGATGCTTGGGACAACCATATTTCAATACAACTTAGAAACGTTGTTTCAAGTCTCGAGATTTCCAAACAAAGTTTTGATTTGCTGTCAAAGTATAATTATCCAAAGTGCAACGTGGCCATCATTTTCTATACACAAGTTAATGAGGGTAAATGTAGCCAATTTTATATCCCTAGAGTTTCGATTGCAAAAATCGACTCTCTTAGCTTGAAATATGGTCTTAGTATTAAGGGAAGTTTGGAGTGAATTTCTAGGAGATTTTGGGATCGATTCTCGCAAAGGAGAGGGTGAAAAAAAAAAATTTAACTTTAACTAAAGTAAAAGAAATTATTTACATATTTTGTAACTGATGAAAACTCGTACCGGAAAGTGTTAAAATAAGATACATGTTGTTATCATGTTATTCGTGCATTCATTTGATCAATTTTCGCAATTTATTCATAAGTCTATGTAACCATACATACACATCGAGTAAAATGGCGACCGGTGTTGACTGTTGAAGCTCTTTCGTGAAGATGAGACAAAGTTGGCATGCAATGAACCAACAATTTAAACACTAACAAAAAATTGAGATGGGGGACCTCTAAATAACGTACAAAAGATGGAATGAATCCCAAAATCTCAAATTGGGTAGGGGACCTGTTTGAGAGATAAGGGAATTACGTAGACTTTTGTGATTGCTGTTCCCTTTTATACAATGTCCATAATATTCGTATACCTAATTATGAATTATTTGTTCCCTTTTGAAATCTCCTACCAACACAATTATAGCCATTTATATTCATGATGATCTAAATGGTGTACAATTCTCCTGCCTAAGATTGCAACTTCCTGCCAACCAAATCCCTGCACTAGTTCATGCCTCAGATTTGGACGAATGTGATCTTGTGAAAGCCTAAGGACCATTCTAACTTTCACTCAAAAGTAGTCTAATTTTCATTTTAATTTTTTTTTCAATCATATATGGTAAGTAACATTATTATTTTATGCGAATAAAACTTGTCTTCCATATATATCTAGGTAGGTGCATCGTACGTGAACGTGATAGAAATCTCAAATTTTAATAACGTTACATCAAATGGACGTTATCTTTCTCACATGCGTGATTAGGTATATGAATATGTGGAAGACTTGAGCATGACAAATTAATATCACAAAATTTCTAGCAAAATATTAGTTAAACTTGTCAAATTTTGATAATCCTAAAGTGATATGCATGTCTCCTTATTAAAAAGAGGGCAACAGGTTTTGAGATCGATTTCATGGATTAGGGTATAAATATTGTAAGGGAGTCCGGTATAGGCGAAGTCAGAGAAATGAATGAAACAAAAACAACTTATAAAATTTATGCAGCATTCCCATGTTTGATGGTTCGATTTCATTTCATCCAACATGGTCCGTAAACATGAAATTAATTAATCTTCTCATGAACTATATCTAACAAGGATTGCTAATTATGCCGCCTCTCCCTTTTTTATAATTTACGTTCCACAAAAATAGTACATATCAAATTTTAAAATTTATTATTTTTAATACAAATATCATAATTCGATGTGAATTTTTTTTTTTTTAGAGACGGAGGGATTACTATTTCAGTTTAACAAAATAAAATATTAAAATGATATGAAACTCACATAAAAGCACTTTGCTCTTTTTTTTTTCTCGGTAAAAAAAAGCAGTGTGCTCATTGAGTCTGCTAAAGTTTGTCCATCTTCGATACAAATCCAAGTGAACTCGAACAACAAACACAATTGAACTAATACTGAACTTTTTCAAAGGTACAAAACCAAACATGAATGATGAAAGGAGAGCAATGATGCGATTCACTATTTTTCTGAAATAGCTGGGCTGTTCGTGCACAAAATTCATAATATCGTATGTCCCACGGCGCGCCTGTATGCGTTTGCTTGTTCGTGACAGAAAAGGAAAGCATTCATGGTGTCTTTTCTCTACGGAGAGAACAAGCACAAAACATACCATTTTCGACCCTACATCAACCCTAATTTCAAAAAGCTGCAATAATGAACGCTACACAGGGAAATACGTGGTGAGTAAACTTTAGTGCGGATACTTTGAGGTTCAAATACGTATATTAATATCAAAAGGAGACGAGTCTTTTTCCTTTTTCGCCCTCATCTTAAATCATGCCATACAAAATTGCATATCTATACATAAATTGATGGACATAATGTTGGTTATGAAAATGGTTCCAGAACACTATTTGGTCTAAACATATAGCCACAACATGGAAATAATCAATGTTAATATACATATACATATATATATATATGTATGTCACTTATTGAATCAATGGAGAAGAGAGACAATATTTCCATCTGCCCTATAAAAAATAGTCTATATATATTGAGTTTTCAAATTTGAACTCAAACATTGAGTTCAAATTTGAAAACTCAATATATATAGACTATTTTTTAAAAAACTTAGTACGTAGTTTATATTTAAAAACTCGATGTAAACTCATTAACCACGGTTAACTGGACTCTTAAAAATTAAAGAAAGAAACACCAAAAAACCTTCTCCTTTCCGGTCGCTCTATCAAAATTCTAGAATTCTCCTCCAGTAAGATGCCGACGTATGAATGACAAGGGTTAAAACTATTCTCTATTATTGTTGATCTCTGAAGCTAAATTTTGGTGTGTGGGGAATCTTTGCAAAGTTTTTACGGAATTGTTGTTTCGAAATTGAGCAACCGCGGTGCCGGCGACTGCGATGATAACGTGGACGCCGCCTACAACAGAATTTATAATGTCCACCACTTGAGATTGCATTTTGCAGAATTAACAAAGCCATCGTGACCCACGCCTAATTGACAAATTTAATTTTCAAGTGCTTTAGAAGATTTAATTTTCAATCCAAACATTCAAAAAATCGTCCTTTATTCCCATTTATTCTCATCGTCTTCACGGTCACCGGCATCGCCGCTGCTCAACTCCGAGACAACACACCTTGAACAAAACCCAATTTTAAGTCTTCCGAAACACTAAAATACCTTTGAATTTCAGAAGTCAACAGTATCGAGAATTGATCCAGGCACTTATGATTTACTCTTTTTCATCTTACCGGGGAAGAATCGGAGAATTCATGTCGGATTGGAAAATACCCTTTACTGTGTTTCCTTTTTTTTTGTAAATTATTATGTTTCCTAAATAATAAACCATGGTTAATCAGTTTATAGGAAGAGTTTTACATGGCAAAAAAAAAAAAAAAAACACGTGTCAACTTCTGGTTGAATGTAACAAGAAGTGACACAAAATTTTGTCACAGGTGATCTCCACCCGATCCCGACAATCATTCTTGATATTTTTAATGTCTTTGGTTAACACATTGTCACATTCCAATGAATAAAACGAATGAACACCGACTATTATATTACAATAAATGGTGATTATCGAATGACCTGTAGAATTAAGACATATCCTAACTGTGCAAGATCAGAAGTATTCCATACGCATCCAATGTTTTTAAGGGTTTTTGTTTTCTAAATTAAAAAAAAAAAAAAAAGGAATTAGGAGTCTTTAATTATACGTACGTACGTGGGGTTCGATTCACATAAAAATAAATAAATAAATAACCCGACAACTACAATAATAATTTTTGAATGTGGTTGGAATAAGTGTGGTAATGTAATCCTCGTGTGGGTTCCTCGAATATAAAAGAAGAGTTAGAAATGATCAAGCTGCCACGTGAACGTTGTTCCCTTGGCTCTCTATGATGCAATGAATTGTCACCTCTTCAATCTTGGTTTTGAGGAGACAATATTTGTCTAATTGTTTGTACTACGTACCCAATTAAAAAACACAACTCCAAAAAAACTCCATGAATATATAAGTACTAGGACTGTAGTATATTTAAGGTTGTTTGCTTTGGCTTATTACCTTGTGATTCAAGGAATCCAGGCGTTTCATAAATCACTTCCCCGAGGGGAAGGGAACCATCCAACATGTATGGGCATTCGGACAGAAACTCATCGGGAACTTTGTTTCTTGGGAATTATGTGATTCATCAATGAATGACATTGAATTAGTAGAAGGTTAGATAGGACAACTAGTCAACGGAATAGGGCAAAAACGCTTATGAGTTATGTCCCAAATACTAATACCACCCGACCTTTCCTATAAGGACAATTAACCTCTTTGACCGCTAGTCAACGGAATAATTGACCTCCTTGAGGGCAAAAATGACCCAAAAAAAGTATATAATGACCAAAATACCCCTTTCACCTTAAAAAAATTTGTGGACAAATTTTACCTTTTTTCAAAAACCTATTTTGTTTAAAAAATCTTCAAAAGATTTATATAGGGATAATACATTTACCGATTTTTCTTAAAAAAACTACTTTTTTCTGGAAAAAAAAAATTAATTGTAAATACCCATTTATCTATCGGAGTTTCTTTTTTTAAAAAAAAATAATAGACTTTCAACCATGTTCTACATTGATTTTAATAACAGTGAACAAATTCAAAATATGAATAATGTTGAAATTATGCTTTTTTTAGACAAATTATATCCTTTTTTGGAAACAAAATTCAATCCTAAACAAATTAAGTTTTTAATGAAAATAATTATTTTTTTTAATAAAAAATTTTTCAACCAAAATTGGTGAATATTTTTATTCCTAAATAAATTGTTCAAATGATTTGTTAAACGAAATATTCCATTGAAAAAAAAAAGAGAGAGAGAGAAGATAAAATATGAATCAAAAAATTATTTTTAGACAAAAATGGTATTTGTGTCATTTTAGTTCTCAGGGGAGTCAATTATAGCAGTCAAGAGGACAATTGTCCTTATAGAAAAAATTATGGTGGTATTAGTTTTTGAGATATAACTCAGGAAGGTTTGGTCCTTTTCCCCTTTATAATAAGGGCCCTGTGGGGGATTTAATTATAACCTTGATTAGTTGTCGATTTTCGTTGTGGTTATCTAAATGGGAAAAAAACAAAATAAAACTACTAACTTAATTAGTCACGCTGAAATAATTTTTTCTTTGTGGGAAAAAAACGATAGTTTTCTTACCTGTGCAAATACATGGAGAATGTGTTTGCCGTTCCAATAGAGAAGATGTCAAACTGTAGACATCCAGATCCATGGTCTATTCTAAGCTAAACAAAGTCATAAATTGGACAAACAAAACATGGTTTTATTCAGCCTATGATAAATGGTCCTCCATCAAAAAGTAAAATGAAAAAGGTCTAATAAATAGATTGGTCCAGGGTAATTAAAAAGAAGGGGGCAAAAATTAATGGTCCAGGAAACCCAATATAGGAGGCTTATAATGGAATGGAGGTGGCTGCATTTCTTTTCTTTTTCAAAAGCAAGATATTCGACCAAGTATTCTTTCATATTGAAATTCAATTAATTTCGTGGAAAAATGATAATTCATTTTGAAAAATAATTGCATTCATGCACCTTACAACATCAGAATTATAAAATCTACGATCTCCATTTCACATTATTATCATACTTATTGTATCAAAACTAATACAATAAGACAATTATTTTAATACAGAATAAAGAATACAATTTTCTCTCTTCTAAAGTATTCTATTCTACCAAAGGTCACTCCATCATTCTTCACTCGAAACCTCGAGAAATAACACAAATCCTCAAGAAAAGAAAAAGGTCAACCATTTGTCCAATAGCATACATTCAACACAACTTATATTCCTTGTTATTGTGCTCCTTCCGTTTAACAAAATTTTAAAAAAATAAAATAAAAAATGAAAGAGGTTATATTTGTTATATTTCTATAATTTAGAAAAAGGTGACTTTTTGATAGGGGCAAAATATCATTTCCAGTTCTGATACACATAGATAAAAAGGATCATTCTTTTGAATAGAAATATTAAGTAAGTATTAAATTTTAATCACCCGCTATCATAAAAAATAGTGGGAGACAAAATCTTGAAGCTATGGATCTTCTTAAGGCATTTTGACAATATTGGAGCTGGATATTAGATATGGAAAGAGTAGATAAATCTTCGAAAACCCAAACATCAAGTACACAGTTAAGACTCATGTCGATTACTAACACACAAAATTATTAAACAACCGTAAATTAACAATTGACAAAAAACAATGGAACCATCCACGTAACCAGGTGAAGGTTTATACTATAAGAATAATCTGAATCTGAATTTTTCTGTCCCGGATTTTACTTACAAATCAGAGGTTTTCGCTATCTAATTTTAGGATAATCATAAACTAACTGATTTTTTTAACCCACAAAAAAAGAATAAAATATTAATTAATTAAAGACGACATGAGATGACAGTGCAGTGAATGTAATCAAACACCTAGTTTGAAGCATTGTCTATGGGTTAGATTACAACACAATTAAAATATAAATGGGAACATGGACCCCACCTCTTTTTATTTTTTTGGGGTTTTTTTCCTTTTGAGTTTGACGGTTGGTCTGCAAACTAATTAACCCAAATCCGGCTGAAACGAATCAAAAGGCTTCCATTGTCTTTCTGTAATCTCTCCATTCCCCAGCCCTTCCCGCTAGATTTTAGCTCCATGTTCTCCCACGCTCCTACATTAGAGTTTCTCATTCACTCTCCCATACCAACATGTGATTTTCTCCTCTAATATTCCTTCCGATCAAAAATAATTGTGACATTTATTATACTATATCAAAATGAAATAAACATTGTTTTGATTGAAAATATAAACTACAAATGGACGAAGGGAGCAGCGCTTGTTTCTTAATATCATTCCTCAATATACACGATTTAGTTAGTATTGTATGTACAGATAGTACAGTTATCAAAAGAATAATAACAACTGACATAATTTGAGATGTAATTATGTCACTAATCGACGTCTATTTAGTTATTCCACTAACCTTCCACCCAGGAGATGACTTATCGAAAATCATTTTACTTACTAATTTCTACACGAGTACAGAGTATTTTTTACAGTCTAGTCTTCAATCATCTGTGCCATTTTTTATATCAAAGCGTGTTTTTTTCGCTAAATACCGAAAAATCCACCAAACAATACATCATGAAACAGTTATATTCCACTGTTAATAAATCTATAAAGCGTCACAGAAAATATTACACAACATAACAATATCATGGAAGGTGAAGTTCACCGTGATCAGATGCGTGTAAGATATGAAGGACTAGTAAGGAAGTAGGGAAAGATAGAAAGAAGAGGGGGAGTTGTCGGGATGAAGTTTTTGATAGAAAGAGAATGGGAACAGAAAGAGAAATTGGGTCGGCCAAAAGTCCAGCAATGATAAGGACACCTTGGTTCAATTGTTGTCTCCTTACTGTCTTCTACCGCTCTTCCCGGGCTCTTTCCTCTGTCCCCTCTTCCCTCCACATTTATACATCACCCCCACATTACTCCTCCTCCCAAATTTCTCAAACACAAAACAAATCCGAATTTCGCTTTTACAACCAACCAACATCCTTTTTTATATATATATATACACAAACAAACACAAACTCACACAATCAATCACACGTTTGTATCGGATTCTGTGAGACTTCTTACAACTCCTCTGTTTTTTCTGAAAGAAAGAAAGGTGAATATACGGGGTTAAATCTGTTCTTCTGGTAAAATGGATCTTCAATTGGGACTTGCTTTTTCAAGTGGTACGATGGATAAAGGGTTCGACTTGAATTCCTCTGAAATTGAGGTTAGAGGGGATTCTGAGGCTAGCCCATTTGGCAATTCTGAATGCAATTTCAAGAAACGCAATTTTGGTGAAGCATTTGAAGAAGAGGGAAGAAGAATTGATGTTCCTCGAACTCTGCCTTTGCTCGTGTGGGATAAACAGGGAGGAGATGATCTGGATGATGAAGCTGACAGCAGCTCTGTGATGAATAACAACAAGTAATAATTCTCATTCCCTGAAATTTGAGTTTATATGGTAATTTGATTTCGTTGTATTCTTCCGGGCTTTGATTATTAATGTCCGCAATGTGTTTGAATTGAACAGAAGTGAAAGAAATGATGTTCATGGTGGTGTGGTAGGTTGGCCTCCACTTAATCCATGGAGGAAGAAAATTTGCCAGAGCAACCACCGTCAAGGATGTGCCGTCAACTGTGTAGCGGTGGAGAACGGCGGCGGCGGAGCTGGCATCAGAGGGAAGAATTCTATGTACGTGAAAGTGAAAATGGAAGGTGTTGGGATTGCGAGGAAAGTGGACTTAAACCTCCACTATTCTTACCAGACTCTTCTTCAAACTTTGATTGGCATGTTTGGAAAATGTAAGCAAAATAAACTCATCTGCTCTTTGAAAGGAGATATGATTTCGATTTCAATTTTTTGCTAATGAAAATGCTCATTGTTTCCTTGATTCAATTGAAAACAGATCAGGAAAGTGTTCAATTTTACCAGCTTGAATACCAAGATGAGGAAGGTGATTGGCAACCAGTGGAAAATGTCAATTGGGGGTAAGTATTGATAAATCAAAAAGGGTTTTTCCTTGTTGATTATGATCAATCTTGCAATTGATTTTGTAATTGGAATTGTGAATTAACAATTGAATATGATTGTTGTTGTTTGGTGCAGAAAGTTCAAAAGGACTGTGCAACGTCTGAAATTGGTGAGGAAAGGATGATGGCAGGCAACTTCTGTGGCTGATTATCTTCTAACTACAGTAGCAGAGTTCATCACCATCATATTGCAGTTTCTAGCTTATAATAAGATCAGCATAGCTGCAGAATTATACTACATGTTTTTTTTCTTAAAAAAAGAAGAGTTTATATATAACATCTAAGTTCTTAGTTTATATAGAAATGTCGTCTTGTAGAGAAGTTGCTTGGTGGGATTAAGCATTTTGTATTTTGCATCAAGAAGAAAAATTTGAGATGATGAGTTGTAGCTAATGGGAAAAAACAGCCAACCTCTCTCAATTTTGTGTTAGAAATCTAGCAAAAATCTATCCAGATCAGTGTTATATTTCACTAACATTGCATCTGCAGTTTGGTTTTAATAATTCTATTTGTGAGAAGAGCCCCTAGGAATCGATTCTCGGTCTCTCATGAAATTCCTCTCTCTAAATTATTGGGACAACTCTCAATTCCTAACATTGTAAAAAATAGCTATAACAATGGAATTTGAATCTTACGATTAACATATTGAATTAACCTTGGGTTTAACCCGTTAGCTTGTCTATATATGTCACACTTTCTGAGTTTTGAGGCTGAATTCATCATTTCATAAACTACCTATGAAGGTGAGAATTTTTTAAAACTTGACAGCTTATGTTGAGAAATTAAATCACTGAAAAAAATACCAAAGCAAACCTAACCTTATCCCAACAAAGGGACATTTTGTGCGACACTGTTAAATAGTTGAGATGTGTTTAAATAACTAATTACTAACACTCTAATCAAATGATAAATAAACCATGTTTGGCAAGTGATTAAATACGTACCAAAATTTTGGTTAGTGTCACAGAGAGTGTAACCCAAAAGTATCACAGGAGATCTTTTGACACTTATCCCCTAGTTGATGAATCAATCACTCACTGAAAAAATCCTCAAAAACCCTAAAATCAAAGTCAAACAGGAAGTTTTCGACGTGGCCTGTTGGGTTGAAGTTCATATCATCACAGCCCAACATCAGGGGTGGAATAACTGAAGCCTATGTTGTTTGGACCCTACCTTATTAGGAAGTTTTATTTGTGGCCCATTTCATTAGGTTCTATTCAACAGCCCAATAAACGGCCGGGTGTAAGTACCCTCTCATATTATCCATTTTTTCACGCCATCTTATCAGATTCCGAATGTTAGGAATCGAGAGAGCAAAATGGAAATTACTAAGGGTACCAAACTGCAGATGACTAAAGAGCAAATTCCATTTTGGTTCCATCTCAATTAGGGTTGTACATGGTTCGTCCGTCGGCCAAACCGGACCGCTGTTTGCAGTTCAACCGATTTATAGACATAGTGTAGCGGCCGGCCAGTTTGTAAAATTTCAAACCGTAGGATTTGGTCCGGCCTACGGTTTGACTTTGAAACTGGCCGTTTAAACCGGTCCGAACCGTATTAGTATAGATATATAATTTAGCCCAATATTATTAAAGGGGTGCTACTTTTCGCAGTTCAGAAATTACTCATTTACAGTTCGTTTTGAACAATTTTGCCCCTGAACTATTTCTCTTCCCCCTTTCTTCTTCTCCTTCCTCATTTTTTCTTCTTCTTTCTATTTTCCTCCTTTTCCAATTTCATCTTCTTCTTCTTTTTTATCACATTTTAAATCCAGATCTACTACAAATAAAAGTTTGAAAAAATGGCGGAACAAGACACATAATAACGGAAAGGAACACCTTTGATTCCGGTAAAATTTTTTTTACTAAATTCTAATTAAAAAAAAATTGAAAAAAAAAGAGTATCCAGGCTGACCGACCCGACCGCCAGCCAATCCGTAAACCTTGGCTGGATTTCTCACCGTTCAAGAGTGAAGGATCGGCCTGGTAAGAGGCCGGCCAATCCTTGAATAGTGACCGGCTCGGTCAGCCTGGTCAGCCTCCCTCCTCTTCCCCACTTTTTCCTTCCATCACCCCTATCTCCCATTCGGTCCTTCGTACACCTCCTTCCCCCCATAACCCTAAGCCTCTAAAATGAAAGCAAAATCATCCAGTGACCAAGAAAGCACCCAAACTCTTAAATCGATTCATAATTCCCAAGCGTCCTTAGTTTTTCTCTTTTGTGGGTTTGGGTAAGAATTACAAAATTATTGTCCAGACTTCAAGCGTTGGACTTCTATTTCAAGTAATTGGCTCTTTCAATGATTCTGTTTGGTTGATGATTTCTTGGTAATTTAGGTGTTTCATCGGAGCAATTGCTGGATTGGTTCATAATTTCTTGGTAATTTAGTGATTCCGTCGAAGTAGTTACCGATCGTTGCTCCAAATGTTCCTAGATCATATATAGCAATTGAAAAAGCTGTAAAATGATTGCCATCTGTTCGAGATGTTACCAATGTGTGAGGGTGCATTTGAAAAAGCTGTAAAATGATTGCCATCTGTTCGAGATGTTACCAATGTGTGAGGGTGCATTTGGCAGCAAAGAAGCACCTCATTTGTTTGATAAAATGACTCAAGAGAGATAATAGACTCGAAGTAACTAAAATGTGCAAATAAGCTCAATTCAGAGTGCTACACATATAGTGGATTAATTGAAAGCTCCATTTTGTTGGACGAGTCTACTCTTCCCAATATCCAAAAGATTAAATCAGAGAAAACGTCCTACACATTTGGTCAAAAAATTATTTTCATTCTATACATTTCAAAATGTTCATTTTCGTCCCATATCATCCAAAAAAGGCTATTTTTCAAGTATTTACGTCCCAAATCAACTATCCGTCTAACTTACCGTCAATACAGAGGGGTATTTTTGTCCTTTTGCCCATCTTTTGGTTTTTCAGTCATTAATGAATATAATAATAATTAAAAATAAACAATTAAAATATCATTAAGATAATTAAAAATTAAAAAAATAAAAAAATTCAAAAATCAAATTTTTTGTTACTTTTACCAGGTAGATCCCCTTGCATCTGTAGTTTTCTCTTCTCTTTTTTTGTTACTTTTTTATTTTTTTACTGCAATTAACCTATAGAGTAATACTTTTTTACAACAAATTAAACTTGCTAATATATTTTTTTTTCAAAAAATCTGATATGTCCAAAATATGAAACATAATAGCCGGCAACTATTGAGTTTTGCCCTTCTTCCTCTTTCTCCTCTCCCCACTTTTTTCCTTCTCCATCTTAAACAGAGGCCGCCCACCACATCTCCACCAGCAACCACCACCATCTTTCATATTCTCCTGTTAACCACCATTTCTCTGTTCAATACCAGTCATCATTACCGTCATCAACACCACAATCTTCATTACCCATCTAAATTGTTTGATAAACTTTTAAAAATAATCCTCTTTTGTAAAAGGGAAAGAATACTTCTGATAAAAAACTATCAATTTTTGAATCTGTTGGTTAAGTATCAATCTAAATTCAGAACAGACATGTATAAAAGTGTACTAACAAAAACAATTCCATGTCCACAATATAGCTATTATGCCAGCACTCATCAACGGGCCAAAGAAAACCCAACAAACTCTATTCATCGACAATTGCAACGGAGCTAGTCCCCACCATCAATGGCTGCCGCCACCGCTCGATTATGTGTAGCCGAAAAATCATACAAGATGCGATCGAAATCAGGTTTGAGAATGGTGTAATTCGTTTCGTGTAGAGTAGCCTGGAACAAAAGAAACATATGGGACTGGAAAAATGTACTAGATTTCATGCCTCCGACCGGTGGGCAACCCAATCGTTATCAGATTCTCTAGATCTATAGTCATTCATACACATCAACCCAAAACAAAAAAGAAAAAAAGAAACCAAGATATAAACGAAGCAATTAACTGTAAAATAATTTCTGAAGTAATTAATCAATTAACATCTTTGAGGGGAAAAGAAAAGTGAGAGAAGAATGAAGATGAAGAGCAATGGAAGAAATACGGGTAGTGTGAGGAAAAAAGTAAACCTAGGCGGATTAGAAAAAGAATATTTATTTATGGAGAAGATAATACATATTAATGGAGAAAATATTTACGGTTTACTGTAGCAAATATAAAAAAATAAATTTACTGAGGCCCCACCTAGTTAAAGTGTATTGAACTTTTATTTTTTATTTTTTTTCATTTTTTCGGATTTAAAAATATTTTTAATTAGTTTTATTATTATTTAATTATTATTTTATTCTTTAATTATTGAAAAAATCAAAAGATGGGCAAAAAGACAAAAATACCCATGCATTTGACGGCCATTTGGATGGAAAGTTGAGTTGGGACGTAAATAATCAAAAAATAGCCTTTTTTGGACGAAATGAAACGAAAATGAGCGTTTTGAAATATATGGGATGAAAATAATTTTTTGACTAAATATGTAGGACGTTTCCTGTGGTTTAGTCTAATCCAAAATGAAATTTTATTATTATTTGAAAAGATGAGATTTTGTTTTCTCGACTGCAGAGGCCTCCCAATAAGTTTTGGAGAAAAGAGGTTTGGTTTGTATAGTTTCTATTAACAACGGCAAAAAATTACGTATAAAATTTGAAATGAATGATCTTCAAACTTCCCGATATTTGTAAATATAAGTAAATATTAAAATGAGTTATAAAAATAAGATATATTTTTATGTGTTACAACATATAGGTAAACAATAAAATGAGTTATAAAAATAAGATATATTTTTAGGTGTTACAATATTATTAGAATCAATCCAATAAAACAATACTATTCAAATTAAACGTGAAATAAATTATACCAAAATGAGTTATAAAAATAAGATATATTTTTATGTGTTCCTAGTAAGGCTTAATGTCATATACAACCCTCGAGGTTTGGTCCAAAATCTAAAATACCCTATCATTTTGAAAAATTTCAAACGCACAACTGGACCGGTAAAACTTGAATGTCAACAGGTAAGAATTTAGAAAAATGACTAAAGTACCCCTCAGTCCTCGTCTTCATTTGTGGTTTCTTCTTCCTACTCCATCGCTATCATCATCATTTCAATCATCGTCGATCAATTTTTCCTCCTTTCTGGCTTTCTGCTCATCTTCCTTCCTCTCCTGCGCCTTCTCATCTTACTGTAATTTAGATTCATCACACACATTGTTTTCTTCTTCTTCTTCTTTTCAATCTGATTTGTCACGGTTCCCACACATCTTTTCTTCTCCTTCGAATCAGATTCGCCGGTGATGATGGTCCCAAAAGAAGTAACCACATGATTTAATTTTAATGGGTTTCCGGTTTATTTGGGTCAGATGGGTTCGGTCCGACTGAGAGGGGAGATCTTGTTGGTAGACCAAGCTGCTCTTCTTTTTTTTTTTTATGGATCGAGTTTTTGATGTTGCACGGCAATTTTTTCTCTAAACAGCAACCATCCTGGCGACAATCAACTACCGGAGGGCGGCTACAAAAATTAGTCCCTCTCCCGAATTAAACCTTGGTATCAATAATTTGTGGAGTGAACTTCTTGGATGCGAGGTCAAATTTTTCTGCATTCTTTTTGTTCATTGACATTACTGGATGATATAGATTGTCTAGAATGCTTCATTCAATTTTAGATTGGCTATATTTTTTTGCTCGTAATTATCTCATTAAATGCCTGCTCCAGCGTTAATTTTTACTTGTTTTTGAGCTCTCCCGAATTGTTTAGTGTACATATTTGGTGTTAGAGACTAGAAATTTTGTTTAGAAATCTGGAGAAGAAGAATATTGGCATGTTTTGTCTGAACAGATACACTTATTACAAAGTTGCCACCCAAAAGCTTTTACCTAATGTAGAAGACTGTAACTGCTCTTGTAGTAGCATGATGACGTTGTTTGAAATTACAATTTCCCTAGCAGTATATATCTCCGTCCTCAATGTTGAGTATTGGCAAGATTAACTTTATTATTTTCAAAGCTTTGTAACTTTGAATAAATGACCATTCAATCTATGCAACACACGATCTTTCCTTATACTGTTGTAAATGATTACTACCGAAGCTCATCTTATGTGTAGAATGACTGTTATGAAGCTCTTTTCCCTCTAAAAGTAGCAAATAATCCTGTTGATTTATTTTTATGTTTTTCATTTCTCCTTTGTCAATCTTGGTTTTATACAGGATACCAGAAGTGTAAATATGAAGCCATGTTAGGCTCTCTCAATGCTCATGGTGTATCCCAGAATGGCCCCAAGACCCCTTCGTCTCAGCTTTAGACGACCCCGATTGCAATTGGTATTTATTATACTCTTGATTGTTGTGCCTATCAGCATTATTGGGATCGTTAACCATGGCCAAAAGGTCTCCTACTTTCTTCGCCCTCTTTGGGATCGTTCACCTGAGCCATTTCAGAAGCTTCCTCATTACTATGCAGAGAATGTTTCTATGGGCCAACTGTGTATGCTTCATGGATGGTCATTGCGTTCAGAACCGCGCCGAGTGTTTGATGCCATAATATTCAGCAACGAGGTGGACATTCTTGAAATCAGGTGGCGTGAACTCCTTCCTTACATTACTAAGTTTGTAATCTTGGAGGCCAACACCACCTTCACTGGCATCCCAAAACCTCTATATTTTGCTAAAAGTCGCCGCCGGTTTGCATTTGCTGAGGAAAAGATTGTTCATGATGTATTTCCTGGTCGTGTTTTGCCGTATGGGTCACATGAAGACCCTTTTGAACTTGAATCCGATCAACGTGTGGCTATGAATGGATTGCTGCGACGTGCCGGGATTTCTGCGGGCGATGTTCTCATTATGTCAGACACAGATGAAATCCCAAGTCCTCACACAGTAAAACTGCTGCAATGGTGTGACGGGGTGCCTCCTGTATTACATCTTGAGTTAAAGCACTACTTGTATTCTTTTGAGTTTCCAGTTGACTATAGTAGTTGGCGAGCGACAGTCCACATTTACAGCCCCTGGACTCGCTATCGACATTCACGCCAAACTGATTTGATTCTCGCAGATTCAGGATGGCATTGTAGCTTTTGCTTCCGCACTCTGCAAGAGTTTGTTTTCAAAATGACTGCCTACAGTCATGCTGACCGTGTTAAGCGTAAAGATTTCCTGGATTACTCTAGGATACAAAAGATAATCTGTAGAGGAGATGATCTTTTTGACATGTTACCTGAGGAGTACTCTTTTAAGGAACTGATCAAGAAGATGGGATCGATTCCTGCTTCAGCATCGGCGGTTCATCTTCCTGCTTCCTTGGTTGAAAATGCCGAAAAGTTCAAATTTCTTCTTCCTGGAGGTTGTAACCGCGCAGCCGAGTGAATGTGGTCTTGAGAATCACATGTACAGATACAGTTTTGTGGCACACCATGATCTTCATTTACCGTGTAGGAAACGTTAGTGCTCCCCCCTGATCCTGTCGTTTGCATTTCTGGGCAATCACTTGCTCATTTTAAAGTTAAATTAGTGTAGTTAATTTGTAACTTAGCGGTTGAAACATGGAGGATTTTGTTCTTTTTGATTTGCAGGGTGGAATATGTCCTTTTTTCTGAGGAAAAGCTAGATTAAGAGCCAGTGATTTTTATTTTTTATTTTTTCATTTTTGCAGAATCAGAATCTTCACGTTTTTGGTCGATATCTGTTTTCCTTAATCTTCCATTTTGCTGGTCAATATTGTAAAGGTTCCAACGTATTGCCACTCTAACTACCAAAAGAAAGAAAAGTCAAATCAATTTGGAGTCGTCGCTTCCCATTAACGGCCCACTTGAAGAAGTGTTTGCATCGTGGGAAAAAAGAAAAAGAGTTTAAAAGGAATTTTCCAACGTTGTACTCCAAGAAAACCTTTTTTCATTCGAATCTCTTCAGACAATATGCAGTCCAGCCGTTAATTTTTCCTGGGCTGAATTTTGTGGCCCATACTCGTTGAAAATAAAGTGACAGTGAATCTATTGACCAGAAGAAAACCCACGAAATATCCTCTTAAATTTCTTCATCAATCCTTAGTCCTTAGTAATAGAGCAGCCTCATTTTTTAAAAAAATTTTAGTTGCCTTCTTTTCCACACGGACTTCTATAATATTCTTTTTTTCGTATATTACGCTTCTGGGTAATAGAATTTACTTTCCTCATGAGTCTAATTTCAAGTTTGGCAGGTCTTTTCTCAGAAGATGGACATTGTTGTATGAAGTATGAACATTTCAATATCATATCATGTATTCCTGTTGTCTTAAAAAAATAGTCTACAATTCACATTGCATTTTAATAATTATATTGTTTTTAATGTAAATTTGAAAAGTTAATATGAATTATTTTTTTGAGATAGAAATGGTGTAAATTATGATTGTAATTAATCTGATTTAGTAAATTTACCACTTGACTTAGTAGTTATGGTTCTACCATATTCTTTGTTTCTTCTTGATGCCATCCTTTTCCATGTTTTTGGCATTCTCCCAAGTGCACATCTATTAAATTCATTGTAATCGAACTTTTTTATTATTATTTTTTACAAAATAAACTGAAAAGAGAAGACAATTTCCCCTTTTTAAAATTGGTCTTAGCTTTCAAGCACTGTGTGTGGAACACCATGACATGAAAGTGGACCAGGGATAAATTCAACCACACGCACTGGCTAAAGCGATGGATCTCCCTTGGACATTGTCAATGCCATCAGAATTCTTTTATATCGACGAAGATGCCATTTTCCATTTTCTACGTCCTTTTCTTCTTTGGAATGGTGTACGTAAACAAAAAGACTACACTTATATACTAGGAGGCAAATTTTGTAAACAATCTCCAATATTATTGAATATATGCGCGAGGTTGTATGACTTTGAATAACTGATAAACGTTGTAAGACTTGGTTACATAATGAAATAATATGAATTACGTGTTATACGAAGATAATGGTATATTATCTCTATCCCAAAAAAAATAGTCTAAATCAGTATGGATTTTTTTTTAGACAGAAAAAGTAACATTTTTATTATGATTATGCAACACTTCTTTGTGTTACTCCTAAGTCCTAACATTAAAACGTTAGTTTTTTATTTTTATTTTTTTTTTATTGTTACTTTTGAAACTGTACAAGTCTGGTTATCAATTTGGACCCAAAACAGTGAAACACCATGATAGCTTCCGTCTCTTTCCCTCTTAATTTTCTTAACTATTTTTCTTTTAGGGCTAAGGTGTGTCACATCTCTATCTTCATGGTGTGTTTTCTCCTCCATCACTAAAAAAGAAATTTGACGGGACACCTTTTCATCCTAATATATCTTATTTTGTTCTGTCGTGGAACACATGAATAAGATCATAAGAATTCCTAAAATTTTATTTTGAGTTTTCCAGTCGCTAAAACCTTGTCAAAATATCAACATATTAACATAATAAAAGATTGTAATTAACATCGAATTCACGGGTTCAAAATGTTTTTCGTCCCAAAAAATACTTTATTTTATTGAATTAGAATAGAATAATGGTGTGGACTATTTTCTGAAACAGCAAAATTAAATAGTATCATAAAATTAGTGGCTCTATTTACAAGTTATTATCCACAAATTGTATCGATTTATAAACTTTGTTTTCACCTCGTTTCTTTTGGACGAAAGGAGCTTACTATTACAGCAAACAAGAGGACCACCATACCATGCCACTTGAGAGTTGATATTAAATGAGATATGGAAAATACTGAGAGATGATATTAAAATGAGATGGGAAAATAAAGATATTTTGGGTTCTTTATATCGATCCTTTGCAAGTACTGAAAAGGGGAAAAAGGAAAAAAAGAAATTGACACTTAAAATGGTGTGTGAATGAGAAATAAAATGAAGAAGCTTCATGGAAAGTGACATCAACGTAATGTACAATAACAGAAAAGGCCACATTACCATTGGTAACGTTGTGATAAGAATATTAAGAAAGTAGCCTTTCTTATCATTGCTCTTCCTCTCATACTATATGAAATCAAAAGGTCCCTTCTCAAATTGATGAAAATTTATCTTACCTTGGATTCCAAAGGACATATATTATGAATTCATAATTCATTTGTCACCTTTTCCTCCTGATACATGCAAAATCGTCATTGTTAGGGAGAGATAAGGATACGCATTGTCGACCAATTTATATCCTTATAATGAAATTCGTATAATAGAGACAGTATTTATATAATTGCAGTGAAAGTTCATAATAACTAATGTGTTGTTCTTTCAATGATAGTCTCTACTATGATGGTCATAATGCCAATTAGAAAATGAATTATATATATCTGACACAAAAACTTATTATACTCTATGTCTTTAAATTATTGTCCAATTTAAATTTTTATTTTTATTATAATTTGAATTATAATTAAAAATCTAAATTGAACAATAACTTCAGAACGAAAGAAATAATAAACTTATATAAAACGAAAGTCCACACAAATAGCTTCATGTCCAACTAATTCGATGTGACCCAACCACCATTTCTCGATTTGCCAATATTGAGAAATTATTGAATAAATTATTGTCGAAGTGCACACGCTAACATGTATAGTTCAAACTCATATAATTACTCATTTTCATGAAATGATTTTGCACAACTTAAAATAAGTTTCTATCATTGAGGTTCTACCTTACTCTTCTTTCATATGGTGGCCCTCGTAATCCCATAAATCCTTATTTTATCCCACTCAAACTTGTCTCAAATAAAATTCGATTATTTATGAATCTACTTCAAAGCTATGGTTTGAAAACCGGACCGGAAAGCGAATCGGCAACTTAAGTGATTCACTGATTTACCGGTTCAACCGGTTTAAATCGGCTTTTAAAATTGGTAAAAACCAGTTATAAAAATTATTAAAAAACAAAATATCAAAATTTCAGTTTAACCGATATTGGTTCTCGATCAAACTGCGATTTTATCTGAGTTTGACCGATTTTTAAATCTACCGGTTATTAATCCAAACCGGGGCGGAAAGACCTCCGATTCCCGTCAAACCGGTTCAACCAACCGGTCCGGTCCGATTTTCAAAACACAGCTTCAAAGTACTTGCATTCTAATCTTCTCATCCTAAGACTCTAAGGTATTAGTTATTAAACTTAGGAAAATCAACTTCTGAAGTTGTATTTGGTCCATATAGAGTATGGTAACTACACAGTCAAGTCAAGTCAAGCTTCTGAAGTTATATTTGGTCCATATAGACCCCACAGCCAATTCCAGACCCAACAATTCTGAGGGCAGAAAAATTGGCTTGGAAGAGGCTTTGGAACTCTGATGTGCAACCAAAACAAAAATTTCTCTTTTGGAGGGCTCTTTTGAATGCTCTTTCCACAAGGAATGAAGAAGACAATTTGCATCTCTTCTTTTAAGTGTGAGGCTTCTCAGGCTATATGGGGTATGGCTTTCCCTACTTTTGCGTCCATCTTTAATTTAGCATTTGATTCATTATTCGAGTGGTTCATCCGATGGTCTCAAACAAATCCATCAAAAGAGGAGGTTGATTTATTCATGATCATTATATGGAGAATCTGGATGGAGAGAAACGACAAAATCTGGAGAAATCAGAGCCATGATCCAGTAATCTCGTGGAGGCTTATACAAAGTGAAGTCAATCTCCACAAATATAACCAGCACAAAAGAAGGCAACGATTAACCATACAGCTGCGCCAGCAATTGATTGAATCCTTGGAGTCTGTCATCATCTTTGATGGCTCCTTTAATCCACACACGAGAAAAGCGTCAGGGGCTTGGAAAATAACATCGCAACATGGTGTGGTTATACAACTTAGATCGGTTGATATTAACGCTCTATCTCCTTTCCAAACTGAAGCCATGACCTGTCTATTAGCATTCACTCGAGTTAAAGTCCACACCGATTGTGAAGTTTTAACAGGTGATCTACGCTCGCCATTAATTCCTGCAGAAACTCAGGAAATTTCCTCTTTGTTACTATCATTAATTTCCACATTTCGGTCTTGTGAACTGATTAAAGTTAGTAGACAAAACGTTTATGAAATGCACAATTTAGCTTATAATAGAATGAGATATAATAGTTTAGCTATCTTTAATTAAGTAATATACAGGTACCTTTAAAAAAAAAACTATCAGACTATATTAATTGCAATTTTACTATCAAAGTGTTTTTTTAAACATCACTTATACTTTTTCCGTTTTAGAAGAAGATAATAATAATAATAATAATAATAATAATAATAATAATAATAATAATAATTTGATCGTTGTTGAGAATCGATCAACAAAAATAATTTTTCTACATCCATTCTATTCCTAGCAATAGTATATGTCCAATAGGTAATTATTAATTAAGCTGTTGCTATTTGAAAATAATTGGAAAATAGAATGAAAAATAAACATCTCGATCATAAGGGCCACAAGAAATGAAAAATTATTGGATCACTTTGTACTGGTCATTGCTTTCCGCAGGAGGAATGATAGCGTTTGGCTCCTTTGTTTTTTTCATAGAAACTTTCATCTTATAAAACCAATATTTTAAAATATTGCAATTTCACAGAGGGATTATACTATTTGGTGTTAGTTGGTGCACTATATATTTTCAGTAATTGGATTCGCATAAAGACACAAAAGGAAGAGAGATTGGGTGTTTAGCGTTTGGACGGTTGCCGTCAAATTAAGTCAAGATTGGTGGATGGTACGACCTCATCGATGGTGAACCATCATCAACCTAATCATCTTCACTCATGCCAAAATCTTTACCATTCACTTAAAAAAATAAAATAAAATTATGGCACTGAACAATAAAAAAAAAATGTGAGCAGCTGGTCCTTAAATACAAGTCACAAGCATTTCTTATTTCCTAGTTCATCTTGTGTCCATTTTGACTAAGTATATAAATATTTTGAATTATCTCAAAACCAATTGATAATGAGTAAGATGATCCTTATAATTTGTATACTGGATCACTTCTCTTCATGAGCCGATATAGAACAACATATTTTAAAACATTTTCCTGTTCAAAATGAAAAGTTGCGAACTATTTTTAAGAAGGAAAGGGAAATGATTTATTGGA